GGCCCGCCGGGGCAGACCACGCTGTGGGCGGCCTTGCCCGGGGCTGCTGCCGCCGCGAGTCGAGGGAAAAGCTTCGTCTGGGAGGTTGTAGGGTGGGACAAACGTGGCTTTTTTGGCAGCTTGAGAGAGAGGACTGTGTTCCTCTCTCCATGGCTTTAGTCACGATCGCTGCAATAAATAGTGTGTTCCCATCAAAGTGCGTGGGAATGCAATCATTCATGTGGTAATAGTAAAGATGGAGTTTATAACATTCCTCCCCAAAAGTGCAGCCTGCAACTGCCTCCATGTTAAGGCTTCTCTTATCTATTTTACACAGAAGACGGGCTTTTTATTTAACAACCAGCCTGTGTGCTGCAGCCTTCCTTAAGGGACGGTGCTGACCTGTTAAAGTTGACCTGGAGAGTGACTGGGTTATCTAAGACTTTGGAAAACTGGTCAGCCAGAGAAGCCACTTGTAGCTTGGGTAGACAAACTGGCCTGTAACGATGCTTAAGGATAAGTCAGACATTAGCTTGGACAAGGTTTCATGTAACATTGAATATGTTATTTCAGTCCACTCTATCTCTGAATTTATAGGGCAGATCTTTTTTTTTTTTTTTTTTTTCCCCGCCTGTTGTTGTTGTCATTGTAGTTTTGGTCCTTGACAGTCTAAACTTACTTTGTAGAGCCCATCTTCTTGGAAAGATGCATATGACCTAGGCTTTTAAGCTTCCAAAGTACAGTGATTCCAAGCTAGCAGCTGAGATAGCAGTAGGTGATTTGACAGCAAATGGAGCAGCATAGAATATTGTAGACATTTCCTTTTTCCTTAGTTACTCCTACTTGTATTAGAAACATCAACCTGATAATTTTGTTTGGAGGTGCGAGTGAGAATTGGGGAAAATAGGACTTGTATCAGTCTGTGATGTCAGTTGTACTCGTGAGGAACTGGCATGGAGGACCCTGACTGGACTTTCTGCGGTTCTGAAGTGAGGTTCCCATTGCTGCAGGTGAGGGCCAAGGCATCGCTGCTCTGTGTGCTTGCTCCAGAATGAAGAGTTTTTAGTCTCAACTTTCTTACCTCCCTTGGCTGGGAGCACGAGCCTCTCGTGAGTTTGAATTCCCAGAAATTACTATATCAGGCTTGACAGGGAATTCTCTTGTCCTTTAATCTCTCTCTAGTTAACCCTCTACTAGGGCAACAGCAAATTAAAATGCTTGTTGTATAACCAATGCTTAGGTGCGTCCCTCTCCAGTCATCTGTGTTTTCTTTGAAGTAGCTACATATGCTGCTACATGCTTCCACTTATTTGGGGTTACTGCACTAATTTCCCTAGCTGGATGTGTGGCACATATGTTTGCATGTGTAATGCTGGTATTGGTGGACTCCTGCAGAGTCCTAGAAAAGGAAAACTCTATCTTATTGTTTATGCAGATTAAAATATCTGCATAAACTTAGTATAAAGTACTGCTCACTAAGCTAGTATGGTAGTGCAGGGATTATCTTCTATCTGTGGTTTAGTACCGTGTAAAACCATGGACTTTACAAAGCAATAGAATTGCAAGGAATAGGCATGCTAAACCTTTCTCCTTCACCTTCCTAACTGTGTGGCTTGTTCTTCTAGCACATCTTTTAGTCCTTAATGTTTTGTTCTTTATGCCACTAGGAAATGCTAGGGTGGAACCCAGCTGGTCAGAAAAACAGCAAAACTTAAAAACTTTGGAATAGTTGACTGTTACTCATGTGCTTAAAATGCAAACATGCCTCTCTGTCAGAAATTCTGAGAAGTTAGGAACATCAAGCCCTTGTACATCAAACATTTGTTCAAAGATCTGGCATGTATTTATGGTCATATCAGACATATTTGTTGTTTCAGAATAAATTTAATATTTGTCATTCAGTTTTATGGATAGGGTCAGTTACCTATGGTCATTGTACATGGACAAAGTACTAACCTCCATGGGAAGCCATACATGTGCTTTTTTATGTAAAAATGCAAAAATATCTGGAAATGTTAAAATATTTGAAAATAAGTAATCAAACAATAAAAATATTCAGCTCATGAAGAATTTTTAAAGGGCCAGCAGGCAGTCCTCATAATTACAGGCAGTGTGTGGATTAATCTTTGATAATTTTATGTAACTAACTTTTATTTCTTGCTTTCTATTATGTATAAATTAACATGTTAGGTAAATCATCTTACTCTTAAAATAAAGAAAAAAATGATCTGTATTACTGATGTAAAAGCTACATCCTAGCAAAACCCTAAGTCAAAAAGTAGACTTACAAAATAATTTCCATTTAAATGGTAAACTGTTTTAATTCATTTTTTGCTAGAAAAGACTGTGTGCACATTTCTGCTCAGAGTGCTGCAACTGTGGATTTTCTGTTAGGAACAGATTTGGCTTTGTTGGGCTTGCATGAGCTGCTGCACAATCAGTCTTTTATGCAGCATGGTAGTTCCATACGACTTTTCTGTATCTTGTGGTGGTATGAAGTAAACCTCTTGATTTGTGTGTTTTTGTTTTACTCCAAAAGTAGGAAATGGAGGTACCGAAAACTATGATTACATGCTTTCATTATAAAAACAATATTTTCATGTATTCCTGTGCCATGTGGAAGGTAAAATTTTACCTTGGCATTTCCTTATTGTGACTTCCTCTTTAATGAGAAACAAAAGGTTTCTTAGTCATCCTGCTGAGAGGGTATGTGCAGTCAGACAACTGGTGCTGAGCATGACTTCATTTTCAAAACTGTGAATGCATCAATCTTCCTTCATGTTAAGTCAAAAATAGAATGAGTTCCTAGATATTTACTATGTAGAACACTGTCTGGGATTATAAATGATACTATAATTTGTAACATCTCACACTATCATATCATTCAAAGTAAATATTCTTACCTATCACTCAAAGTAAACATTCTTTTGGGCCCCGAGAGGGCTCAAAAAAACAAAATTGTAGATAATTAGAATTGTTGTAAAATAGTAACTCAAAGCTTGCTGTAGTTTTTTTTGCAGTGCACGGTGTAGCACTTTTGAGTCTTAGATCGGGATAACGTGTAGTTAATGACAGGTGCAGTGCATGGCTGATAAACTTATATATCTTAATATCTCTATTTTTTCAAGCGTTGATCTTCACAAAACAGGAGAATCGCAGAAGATGATGCTGGGAGAGTGCATTGCAAATTATGCTCTTGCGGTTCGTGGATACTCATGCTTTATGGTTAAAAATAATCTGTGCATAGAAGCTGCAATCTCTTAGGCATTGTATAGGTGTTTGAACTATCTGAAACTTCCAAAACCTCATATGAGGTTTGTAGGGCGTGTTTTCTTCCCTATTTTGTACCTGATTCTTAACTTGTAACTTTGGTGCTCTAGGTTCAGCACTTCAAGACAAACACTGATGTGGATTCCAGACTCCTTTTTTTCCAGGTATTTGTAATATCCCTTCACATTAAACAGAGACAAATAACAATTATTCTCCATTCTTAATACATTCCTTAAACAATGGGTTCTTTTCTTCTACCTCAGCCAATGGAACAAATTCATTTGAAATAACTGTTATCCAGTATGTGGATTACTGAATACATATTCTGTATTCAGTAATGCTATGGCAACTTCACCTGAAGAGCTGTCAGTTTTTAGGTGGAGTGCTGTAAATATATACTAAAGCAAGACACCACTGATGTGCTATTACTGCATTGGTACATTTGAGGCTAGCATAGTGTTACATAAGTATTATTGCCTTTGACTTTTTCTGAATTATTGCTGTATTTTGAGTTGACTCAAAGTTTTGAGGATTTTGGCTTGTGGTACAGTAGCCTTTTTCTTCCTGGTAACATTTATGTCACTATTGTTACTACTTTGTAGGTAGTAGTGCTTACTGTGTCTAGTAATTTCCATGTTGTGCCCCTGCCATCACAGTTAATCCAAAACAAATAACAGAAAAGCTGAAGCTTGGCTGCTGGCTTTGCTTCCTTGCATTTAATTTTTGCACTCTAGAGATTCTAGATTTCTTTGCCGGTAAAGCCTGGCAGCTGACATGGAGATGCAGCATCATCTGCAGCTGTATTACTGAAATATTCAGAGAGATGCTAGGGAGACATCAGCATCTGTGAGGTATGGGGAAAAAGTCACAAGGAAGAAGTCCCTTGCTGTTCCCCAGCACTAAGTGTGCTATCCAAGCAGTTTTGAAGTAAAGCTCCTGCCCTTTTCCTTAGTGTGTTTGCTTTTCATTTGTAATGCTGGCTTTTGGTATTTTGTGTTGCACTGATGTGGAGAAAAACCACTTTGATATGGCGGGAGAGAAGGTTTGAAACAAATAGTGTGAGAACTTCCCTGCCCATTCTTGCCCAGTAAGCCCTTGCATAAAGCATTCTTTCTACTTCACCAGTTTATTAGATTTTAACAAGCTATGCAGCCCTCTTTGGGAAAGACTTTTTTGTTCCTTCAGGCCAGACCCTGTGTCCATTTTCTTCAGAAATCTTAACTTAAATGCTTAACTGAGCATGCACAGCCTCTCTGCTCAGGACAGGTGCTCGGCACCAGCATTTTGCGTCACCTGGGTAATTTTCTTCTCTGCTTATCTACGCTGTTTCACCAAAGTGAGGTAGACTGCACAAATAAAGCAAACTGAATGATTGGAAGTGTTGCTATGTTCTATCGGTATTTCTGTGACTTAATACTTCTCTACATGACATCTAACTACGATTTCCATTGTTTTAGTTTGCTGAGTGGAAGAATTTCAACACTGAAAGATGAAACTGGTGCTGTAAGTAACAAACGTACTGATAAATCATTAAATTAATGTTTGTTTCCAGTTAGGTTCTCTCCTAAAGAACAGTAATTGTGCATGCTCGTTTCTAATAGCAAAAATCTACTGTTTGAGTAGGTTGTATAGCAGCTAAAAACACGATAGACAAATGGCCAAAATACTCACATTCCTATCTTTTAAAAATTTGTTTTGGCTTTTGCCAGTCCCTTTTGTATTATGTAACCACTAGCAGCAGTGTTGCAGAACTCTACATTTAAAACTAACAGCATCATCCCTGCTTCAGAGTCCACAAGGACTGATACTCAGTTGGACTTGACCCAGCCCTTTTTGCTTGTTTTGATGCTAATTGTTTCAATAAGAGAAAAATATGAAACTTTAAAACCATCTGAAAACATCACTATGTATTTTCCCTTGCTTCTGTTACAAAGAGTGCAGATGCTGTACAAAACATGCTGTCTTCTTTCTTACAATTTGAGAGCCTAGCTGCCATAGTGTTGTGTGGGAAAATTATTGTTTGGGAGATTTAAATTGTTTATGCTTCAATGTATGTGCTTAAAAAATTAAAAACTGGTGTTTTCTTTTGAAGTGGATAATTCTGGTTACGACAGAATAAGTGTTTCTTGCAGTTATAGCTACTTGTGCGTCATGTTCCCACAGTATGTATTCTGTGCTTTTGTGAAAGTTGGTGACATCTGTGGATTTATTGGTTCTCATGTTCACTCTTAAGATAAATGAAATGGGATAATGTGCATATTTTTGTGCTCATTCAGCACTATTCAGAGGCAGCAAATATGCTTATCTTAAAAAGCAAAAAGGCAGATTCTTGTATTGCAGAGAGAAGTAGTTTTCATGTGATAGCTATTGTATATGTAGTTGAGCAGTATTGATGTGTAAGTGTAGCTATTTGGATTTTGTTGGCAAATATATATATGCATACACATAGGACCATTTCAGTCTGAGGATAGGAGTCCTATAAGGGGACAACATTGTTGAAAATAAGGCACACAAATGCCCTCTTAAAAGCATATTGGTAGTTGGAATGATAATTGTCTTGATCAAAAACTTAAGCTTAGATGTATCTTGAAGTCTTACATTAGACTTAGTGCATTCTGAGCACATTACAGAAGTGCGTAGATAAGTGGCAGTAGCCATTGACCTTCATGGAGTCTTTAGTATTTATAAAATTCAGTTTTAAAAGCAAGCATCATCTATATGCAGCAGTAGCTGTACATAAGAATGCTGTAATGCTAGATGGTAGAAGAATAAGTAAGAATAAGTAACTTTTTTTGGTCTTCTGACTGCCTCAACTTTTAATCATCTTTCGCATACTTATTACAGAACTATATTTTAATTGATAGGTGTTTTATAAAAATGATAAAAATACAGCATATCTTTTTCTCTGCAGATATTTATTGATAGAGATCCAGCAGCATTTGCACCCATTTTAAATTTTCTTCGCACAAAGGAGCTAGACTTACGGTAAGAGGCTCTGATTACTTTAAATGAAGATTCATTTGGCCAGATGCCTTAGTGATCTTTTTCAATTGGAAACTGTTCAGTTCTACTCAGTTACTTGGATGCCTAATACATAACTGACTTGCCTGGTAGATCTAAACCCATGTCTAAAAGGTATTTATGGCATGGTAGAGGCAGAATCATTAGCATTAAATTTTAATTGTTAGTGGATTCTTTTAATTTAAAATACTATTGATAATACATTTGTTTATTGGTTTTGTATCCTTATTTTAATAAAAGTTAACTAATGTTAAGATCACTTTGAATCTCATAAGCATCAACTTATTCAGCATGTCTGGCTGATTCTAAACTGTTGGCTTAAAATTCATATAGTCTTAGTTATATATAAACATTTATATTCAAGGTCTTATCTATCTGTATCCTTGTCTTTCTTCTTTGTTTTCTTCTCTAGGGGAGTGAGTATTAATGTTCTCAGGCATGAAGCTGAATTTTATGGAATCACCCCTTTAGGTAAGTAATTTATTTTTATATGAGGTCATCTATTTGATACAACTGAGATGACTCACAAGTTCTGGACAGCTGTGATCCTGAAGACTGTAAAACTTACTGGTACATTAGGTTATTTGAAATAACTCAACGTCTCCAGGGAATGTAAAGCTACAGTCATATTTGCTTTTCTCCCTTAGTAAGAAGGTTGCTTCTATGTGAAGAACTGGAACGCTCATCTTGTGGCAGCGTCCTCTTTCATGGCTACCTGCCTCCTCCAGGTATTTTTGTATTCTCTGCTTGTATTCTGATATTGCTTCTAATCACTGCTTTGTTGTGTGGGGGTGATTGGCCAGAGTATTCCGTCTGTAAAACTGTCCAGAGAAGGCTTTCCTGCTCCAAGCTTAAGCTTTCCTGCAAAATGTTTGAACAGACATGGTTCTGATTCAAGAACAAGAATTATGTCTGTATGCTCTATGAAATGATGGATTTAGAGTACTAGGTAGCAGTAGTATGTTAATACCAAACAGTTATTGATATTACATCAGACTACAGATTCTTGAGTACATTTCACTTGAATGCTATCAACATGGAATGCCTTTTTTTCCTTTCTAAAGACACAATTACTTGAGATGCCCTATGTCATGTCAGCAGATGAAAAATGAGTGTTCCCTACCAATGTGTGTATTTACTCCTGTTTAGAGATGAACACAGTTTGTATCTTAAGCTGAAGACTGCGGTATAGTTAGCTGGTTGTTGACAAGTTTCCCTGGGATAGTTCTTCAAACTGGTTGTGTATGTCAAGATAGGGAGCCAGAGCATTTTCTGTTTCAGTGGTTAAACATAATTTAGTTTCTGTAGCAGCTAAATTAGATTGTGGATTAAAACACACAAGTGCTAATCCTATACTATGACAATGAGAAAGCATCTGCTGTATTACTGAGTTCATGGAGTGGGACAAAACATGTCTTTTTTTTCTTTTATAGGCATTCCAAATCGCAAAATAAATAATACTGCTGGGCAACCGGCGGATGTTAGGACTGGTCAAAACTGCTCTGAGAATGAGATCCGTGGAGGTGGTGTCCAGCCTACCCTTACGGGTACTGGGGAAGGTACAGTCAGATTAGGTGAGGAATGTTGCTTTTAAAATTCAAACAAATTGCAAAAATCATTGCCACTGAGAAATAAAATCTGAGTGGCTATTTCTAGCTGCATTCTCTCTGTTTGATTGATCTTATATTGTTGAACTTAAATTAAATGCTCTTTCATATGCAGTATTTAAGACTCACTGCTGCACAATCAAGACATTAGGTTGAAGGAAGGGCAGATAGGAGTTCAGCATGTTGCTTGAGTACAGCCATTAGGCAAATATATTACACTGTACTGGAAGCCAAGAGGAAAAAACAACCCTATCAGTGTCCCTCGGGTCTTAGTTCATCACCAGAAACCTCCTTCCTGCTCTTGCACCTTGTCCTTGCTATATCCCTTCCTTGCCCTGCAGAAGTCAAGAATCTTCAGGGCAAAGCTAGCCCTCAGTTGTTTGACTCTGTAGAGTACTCTCCACATAAAGTGCATAAAAACTGTAAACAAGATAGACTTGGTCATTTCTCACCTTTTTACTTTGCAAGCAAAATTATGTTCTTGGAGTGTTATACTTATGTCTATACTCCTATAAGTTGTAGCTGCATTAGGGAAATCTTTAGTATGTTAAAAGATGCAGGCAATGCAAAAATAAGTTTTAGATATGAATTGCTGCCTCTTCTTCCAAGTTGCTACAGACTTGGAAGAGGGCAATTCTGGAGAAAGCAAGATGGCAGGTGCACACTCTTAAAGACTCACTTCTTTAGTATATATCTCAGTTGGGAGCTGACTTTGGAAGCTGCTGTAAACACTGGCTTCAAACACCATATTTGATAACAAACGTTTTTTGAAGATAGGAGGTTCTCTTATCTGTAAATACCAGTGTGTGCTTGCCTCTTTCTGCTTAGGAACGCTTCAATTTTAGTGACTAAGTTTAAATGTCCTCTTCCTGTGTCATGAGCCATAGTAGTTGTAAGGATTATAAGCAGTACTGCCAATTAGACAAATCAAAGGTTTTGAGGAACTTCTTCAGCAGATTCAAAGGTTCTGTTGAATAACTCAGTGAAGAGCTCTGTCCTATTCTGAGTGTCCATCTTCTCTCTAATACCCATCACTTGACTGACTTTACTTTTTCTGCTGTTTTCAGGATTTCCTGTGGACCCACGGAAAGTTCTGATAGTAGCTGGCCACCACAATTGGATAGTAGCTGCATATGCCCATTTTGCTGTTTGCTACAGGTATGAACATAGTGGCTTCTCTTGCTCCAGAAATCTAGCAAAACTAGAATAAGCTTCTTAATAAGACTTGCTGGATCCCAGCAAATTTGTGTACTCTGACTTGACTGTGGAATGCATACATTTAGTATACTATAAATATGAATTGTCCTTCTTGCAAATGTAAGCAAACTGTTAGAGACATAACTTTTACTACTTTTATGGCAATTCTTGAAATTATTGTAAAATAAATTGGGGAAATAAGTGACTTACTTTCCTGAAGTGTTACTAGTTCTGTTTTACCAACCCAAATTTTTGCAGAACAGTTTAGGTTTAGACCCTGGAGTTAGGCCTCTGTAGGGGAGAGAAGGGTTGTTAATTGTTTTAACTGGGAAATGCTGTGTTAAAGCACATTTGAGGGTTACTTCTGAAAGATTTATTTAAAAAGTTCTTCCTACTCTATGGATTTGAAACAGTCTATGAAGTCTGCAAATTATGAACATGAAAGAACTTCAGACAGTTCATTAATTTCTGCTACATGCATGACAAACCTGCTCCTAAACTTGAGGGCTTTTGCCTTAGCAGAGCTGCTAGGCATTTGCTGCCTCAGGATGGTTGTGAAGTGCAGGGTTTCTTTAAATATTTTATTAACCAATTGCGTAGTTTTTAAGTTTGTGTGAAGAACAGTGCAGCCTTCATATTACAGAAGCTGTTTTCTTTAGTTCACATTTGGTAGTTTTGATTTTTCATGGTGACCCTCTTTCAGTGAAAGGTAATGCTTTAAGAAGAACTGCTGCCTAAAATAGCCTAGCGTTGCTGTTGTAGTGTGATCAGAAACAGCAGGGATGAAAGAAAGGGATAATGTGAAAAGCTTCTTTTTGGTTACTGTCAAGCTGAAGGCATATTTAGCGTTTTGCACCATACTGGATACTAACTTATTAGCTTAAATATAAATTGTGTGCAACTTTCCTTTTGTATTCCCTTCTGCAATTCATTTTTTTTCTCTGATGTATGCTAAACGTGGTTTCTCTTGCCCTGCTTATTGTTCTTGTTCTCAGTTATGCTTGACAGAGTCTGACCTGAGAGGAACAGTGACTTGCGATTGCCTTTGTGCTAATTGTCCCTCTTCAGGATTTTCTCTGTTTGCTTTGGCTGCTAGCTCACTTAAATGCAAAGGTCCACCTCTTTTCTGCTTGATAGTGTGCTTTGTAAGACTTACTACTGCTAAATTTGAGTCATGAGTGGTGCTTTTGATGAAGGCAGGTCTGACCTGAGGAGGCACAGGTCAATATGCAATTGAAATGTTGCTTTTCTTCATAGTGACTCAGGGTAGCAGTCTTGTCTTGATTGACAAGTTTTTAATCTGGATCTTGTGGAAACTATAGGAATATTATGCTGGTATTTTTCCTCCTCCTTGCTGTTCCTAAACAGCATTTAGTGACAAACAGTTTTTCTTCTGTCCTGTATCTTAGTATCTGTTGATTTCTTATAGATTGAGAAGTAAATTTGCCAAAACTTTTTTTGGGCAGTGCTTGAGGAGAGAGCAGGGACTTAAATCTACATCCCTCTACCCACAAATTTAAATATAGTTTGCTTTTATCTGTATGGTGCAGTCAAATGATGTGATTTTCAGATTCTCAAGAAAACTATTTTAATATGAAAGCAACAGCTGAATTTTAACCAGAATCACTTTTCAAAGTGGTATTTTTTAAAGGAATAGACAGCGAATGCATAAGAAATTAATTATACATGCATTTAGTTTTGCGATCTTTTAGGTTGCTTATAGACAGTATTTAAATATTTAAATTTGTTATTTTATTAAGAAGCTGTGACAAAGTATAATGGATCTTAAAAATAGTATTTTTCCACTCAAAAAATTGTTGAAGTTTTACAAATTTAATAGTGAGGTTTATGTGCATGCCTTCCTTGCATTCAAAGGTTTATGGCTATTGCAGTCTGACTCTTAAGTCACTTCTGCATGTTGCATGGCTAGAACACAGCAGTCTGTGGTGCTTCAGCCGTGATGCAATGCTGAAGTGGAAAAAATGGCAAGGGTTTGCCCTATTTTCTGTGCTTAGCTAGAAGTTCACACCTGTTATTCTGTAGCTTAGCCTTTGTAGCTAAGACTGGAACATGCCCCTTGGGTCAGGCTGGGACTTAGCAGTCGCTTTCTGAATCTCTAATGTCTGCTCCCTGTTGCCTCCCCTTCTTTACCCTTCCAGGATCAAAGAGTCGTCTGGGTGGCAGCAGGTGTTCACGAGCCCCTATCTGGACTGGACAATAGAGCGTGTGGCTCTCAATGCTAAGGTGGTTGGAGGGCCTCATGGAGACAAGGATAAGATGGTAGCAGTGGCCTCAGAGAGCAGCATAATCTTGTGGAGCATTCAGGATGGTGGTAGCGGCAGTGAAATTGGTAAGTATAATTGCTTGGTTTTGTCTGGTTTATTCTATCTACTAGGAAGAGATCTGTGAACTTATTTTGAGGAGTCGGTAATGTTTAGTAAGCACTTCACAAAGTGGCAAGACAAAATGCAGTGCAGCCACATGTTAGAGCATATAACCTTTTCCTGTGTCTTATTAGAGGAATCCTTTCTTTCTCAAAATCAAAGAGAAGCATAATAAAGTGGTCCCTTTGCTGGACAGAGACTAGGTAACACTTACTGCTCGGTTCAGTTTGAGTTCTTATGTGAAGAAGCAAATTAGATTTAAACTTTTCCCTGGATTTACATTCAAACTTAGGCACAGGGGAACTAAGCTACTGACATGTCAAGCTGCAGACACTGGGTAGTTCTCTTTTTCTTGCCTTTGTCTTATTAAAGCCATGTTTTACATGCAGCTGGTTAAAATGTTTGAGTTTTCTCTCAAATGTAGTTTATAAATGGAATTTGGAAGAGGATAACTTACTCTTTTGCTAACTTGGTTGTCTATATAGGGAAAAAGCACACTGCCTGAATAGGAATTACAGCTTGTACTTGGTATTGAAGAGCACATAATACAAGAGGCTTTAAAACAGCAAGAAGAGATTTATTTTTTTTTTTCAGAAGTAAATGTTCCTCAGTACTGATCTGATGGTTTTAACTGTCTCACTGCTCTTCAAATACAAGGCAAGTTTGGGAGGCAGTGAGAGGGCTGGTTTTAGGAAATTTCTGTAGCCTGAGCCTTGATGTTTGAGCACTGTCATTATGTCGTTATCAGTCTGTTTTCCCTGGCAGCAGATCCTGCCATCAGGTGGTAAACAAGAGCAGTACAAAGCGTGATGGCAATCTTCCTATGCAGACACTTCTCTGAAAGTGACTGCTGAGTTGATTGGTTTTTAGATATACTTACATACTTGAATGTGGTTATTAGTTAAAGTAAAAAAAAAAAAGTTTTGATACATTTGCCTTTACTTTAAAAGAAGAGAGTGCTTTAAAAAATCTGAGGCAATTTCTAGTTTTATCACCGACTTTTGCTTCTCTTTGTGCTGGAATGAATGGAAGCACTAAGTTGGATATGGAGAAGGGGAAAGCCAGTTGTTTTGCAAGAGATCATGCAGCTGAGTATTGTTATTTATGATTCATGTATATAGTCATAATCAGCAAAACAGCAAGGAATGCTTCATGCTATTAAAAAATTATGAAATGTGTGACTAAGTTGAATATGAAATCTCTGTTAGCATGGAGCAAATATTCTCCCTAAGGAGCCTTTTCTCATATGCTGCCCTCGACCAAGTCTTTCACTAACAGGCAGGGAATTGTTAGCCTGACAGCTGTGCTACTTTGCTACGTGCTGCTTTAAGCACTGTGCTGTTCTGTTCCTCTTGTAGGAGCAACGTTTTCTGGCTTGGCTTTGCTGCCTGGGTTGTCTCAGAGTTTGCAATGAGATACATACATACATACAGCAAAATTGCAGATTTTTGGAAATGAAATAGGAGGATATAAAAAAAAAAAAAACGCACAAAAACAAAACTAACCAGAACATAAAATCTCTAAAGCGGACTCTGCCTACTTAAAATCGAAACTCCAAAACATGTTAAAATCATAAGGTGCTGACAACTCATCCTCCAACTAAATGTGACAACAAATTTAGGGAAGCAGTTTGCTAAACAGTGCAGCACAGAAGTGGCTCTGTGAAATCAAGGAAATGACATTCAGTCTCTGTGGGGAAAAATGTGCCTGAAGGATTGAAACTTTAGTCTAACTAACATTAACCAGAATGCGCTGTTCCTGTCCTGGGTTAAATAAGTCATGCTGCTTGGTTTAACTGGTTAAAATATATAAGTTTTTAAAAGCGGTAGCTTAAATATAGCTGCCTGTTTTCTTGTTGTGGCACATGCTTGCAGTCCTGCTTTGGGTTGGAGAACTTGCACGTTGCTACCGTCTTGGGTTAGAAACTCCTTGTTCCAGCAGCGCCCGGGGCCGGCCGCCGCCTCGGCGCGTGGTGAGCGCTGCCACCGTCGCTGTGGGGCCTCCCGGTGGCTCGTTTCCTTTCAGTGTTACTTGCATAAGGCACTGCTGCTGGATTGCTGCTGTAAGCAGGGGTTTACTGAGAGGGGCCCTTAAGACAGGAGCCTGACATTACATATAGCATTGCCCCCGCCCGTGCCTGGGTCTCGAGGTTGTTGAGCCTAAGCAGGACTGACACTTAGGATTCCTGCAGAGCATTCAAGCTGTCTTCCTAGATTTCCTTGAACTTCATCCTTCTCTGGAGTATTCAATTCTAGTTGTTTCTGTGTGTACATTTTTAAATTATTATTATTGCCTTTTCAAGCTATTGGATACTCTTATTTATAGACTGGTATTGCTGCAGTTAGTGAGGAGTGATATAAATATTTAGAGTGAGTAGCACAGAGTAAGAAATTATGAGTAAAACTTAGTGATGTAAAGTGTACCTCATATAATGACTTTTACAGCTAAAGAGGATGAGCATGTTCTTAGCAGCCATCACAGCTTAGTTTGGAGTTACAGGCTGGGATACTTAAAGAGGCTGTTTACAAGACTGTTTAGCTGCTGGACATGGGAATGAACTTAAACTTCCTTAGTTTGGTGTAACTTTTAAGTAATGTGGTACAAAATAAAGTACGCTTTCTGAGTCTACAGTTCATTAAAAATAGTACCAGGCCTACGATGGTCTAGGAAGTTCCAGAGAGGTCAGGTTTCTTGGGAAGGTAGCAAATGGCCATACGAGCACTGCAAACACTCGTGGTGGAATGGTTACAACTGTCAAGAATTTATTTGGGTAAGATTAGAGTGGAAAAAAAAAAGGCCTAAGCTAATGATTACCTTTCCCCAGAATAGAGATGATACCTTGTAGCCTTATTTAATTTCTATAATACGTTTTAGGACTATATGTATTTGATTGTGCTTTAAAAAACGAACAGGAATTGTAATACTTTTTTAAATGTATTTGCAAATTTGAAATTTTGAAAAGGTATTTGAAAATCAGCGCGGCACAAACCAGTCTGTCTAACAAAGCCATGGAATTACTGCTGCTTAAATGACATTTCGTAGTCATAGATAAATAAAAACAAATTAACCTATTTGCTGTAATAGGGTATTTAAGATGTATAAAGCCATTTGAGACTTTGGATTACAAATGGCTGTAGAAAGATAAAGAAGGCATATTTTGCATAAACTCTTCTTTCCTTGTCCCTCCTCTCTCTTCCCCAGTGGATGGATTGCACCAGCAGAGATGACATCATGCGGTGGTTTAATTTAATGGGAATCCAGTTTTCCTCCTGCAGGGTCTATCACCTAGTGCACTGGGAACCCACTTCTGGCCGTTCCTTATCTGCCACAATAATAAATGTGACAAGTGATAATAGTGGAGATTCCATTGTTACTGTTTCTTTTTCTCTTTATTTTAGAAGAGCTTCACAGACTCTTCATTTTTTGTAGGAGTGTTCAGTCTCGGAGTCCCTGTAGATGCCCTGTTCTTCATTGGCAACCAGCTGGTGGCTACCAGCCATACAGGGAAGGTGGGAGTGTGGAATGCTGTGACTCAGCACTGGCAGGTGTGTTCAACTCAGACTGTGTCTTTCTGCATCAATTCTAATAAGCTGACATGTTGCTCTGGTGAAAAGAGAGTAAAAGAATGTGTGAAGTGCTCAGTACTCACCTGGGTTATGGTACCTGCCACCTGGGTACCGTGTTATTGAATTGTTTGGTGGTACTAGCAGCCATGCTTTAAAATAAAAGGACGTGCACTTTGGAGTAATAAATGTCACCTATGAGTATATTTAAACTTCCTTGTGCAGTACTAAATTTGTAAGTGGTGCTGTTTAATGGGAGACTCTCCTTCAGCAGAAATATGCATGGTGCTTGGAAGATGGATGTCCTGCATCTGGATGCTTTTGGCTGCACTGAATTTTACTCCTGCTGTCAACATGAAAATGCATTTTAAATAGATCCTTGGAGTCTGTATGAGCCTGAGAAAGAGTTGAGCATTCATGTGACTAACAAAGTTTGTAACACAGCCAGATGTACATCTTTATGTATATCTTTGTCGCACAAAGCCTGGATGCAGTAAAAATCCAAAAATTGCCTTGCAAATCCCAAGAGGCAGAACTGACTTGGGGCTCACGCTCGTGTCTGCAGCAGTGTTTCCTGACTAAGTTTTAATTTGGACCTTAAGTGACAGCACTGTTCACAAATAACACAGGTAATAAGCATCGGGTAGTGCTGCTTCTGTAGCTGACACAGACAGGGTAGGCTGGTCTTGAATTAAAACACTTCTTTTCAAGACCTCTTGAAGCCTTGCAAAATATTGTGTTGATGAAAATGTAGTGCTATGTGACAATTCGGAATGGGATGATATTTGCTAAAGGAGCAAGTTACAAAGAATAAAACCTATTGTCCCATTCACCTGCATTCTGTATACAGGTGGAGCTTTCCATTTACAGTAATTATTCCTCATTTCAATTGATCATTCCTGTGGTGGTGAAAGCATTTCTGACTGAAGAGCAGAAAATAATTAGAAGTGGATAATTACCACAAACTAGCAGAAAACAAGTTTTTTTCAGGGGAAGGAAATGGGTTCATTTTTAAAGAAAAGTTTCGGGGTGCTTTCTCTGCAGCAGACCCTTTTGTTTCTATTAGTAAACAGACCTATAGAAAAATGGGGGTTTTCTCATCTTTCTTGAGAACAAATTCTTCCCGAAGAATCCTGTAAATACTTAAGTGGCAGAGTTGTACCTCTGATCCTCAAATGCCTCATGAGAATCCATGGTATTTGCATAAGTGCTTTCTAAGAGTTGCTTATCGCTTTGGGCTCATGTAATCATGTCTGTTACAGCATGAGAGGTTTTGGAGAGCAGAATGTGCCAGTGCCTGTGCCCCATTCAGACCAAGATCTTGGTTTTATTTCATATTTTCTTTCATGATGCCTTTCTGTCTATTTCTTCAGAATTGCCTTTTCTAATCTCTAGTTTAAGAAGGTTTATTTTGTAGCAGTTATCCTTAAGCTATGAATTTTGCATTCGATATAATTGATCCTGAGGCTGTGGCTCTGACCTTGGTCTCTAATTGGTTTTGGCATCTCCTTTCTGAGTCTTGTAGATTTGAGCAGAGTAGCCGAGGTGGGTTTCCCTACTGCTTACTCCTCTGGTACTATTTTGGTGGCATGGAACCAGGAGACAAGTTTGTGGGTGCTAGATACATCCTCAGTGAACTATTTAGTATAGGAGTGCTTAATGAGGCAGAATACTTAGTGATGTAGAACATGGAGGAACAGAAAACAGACCCAATAGAATAGGGCAGAAAAAAATCTTTGACAAGGGAGGATTCTCACTCGCTGTGTTCTGGTGCTGATTGATGTGTAATGTTGCTGTGTTTCTTAGAAGAAGAAAAATAGTTCACGTCTCAGCAAGTGCAATTTCCAATTCACCTCTGGTGTCCTTATCTCTGCTCCAGAAGAAACGTCCTTGCTCTGCCCAGTGTCTCCCACTTGGTTGCTCAGTCTCTGCTGCTGGAGCATTGTAGAGCCTCCTGCAGGACACAGGGCTGGTGGTCATGCTGAAAGCCATTTGGATCCTCTTGCTTAATCCTCTCCTCGCAGCTACCATGATATCTGCAAGATCTGTGGTGTATCTTTGTATATGTGGATGGGTTGCTTCTGCCTCTGTTTTATAAACATTTTGCAAATGGCAGAACTTCCTTTTACAGCTTTCGTCCACATGCATCCTCATCCAGAGATACATAGGTGCTGAGTTCTTAGTTTCTTGTGCTTTTGCTCTTGTCCTGCTTCTTTAAAGTAGTCTGAAAAGAATCTTTTCAGAGTTGGATCAGATTGTTTGATGCCTCATTTAATTAGATATAGAGTTGCTTTGATTATGGGAAGAGACTTATACATTAAGTGGAGAGACTGAAATATGTGAAGTGCAGGAAAAAATAGTGTGAGTTTCTGCCTGTTTTGAATGCTCTGGATAAAATAGCTTTTGTCTATGGGATGAAGCAAGAAAGTTCCTTGGTGTTGGGGATCATAGGTGCAATAAATAAAGTTCTTGTTTCGAGATCTTTCTCTGTCCTCCCTGAGGGAATAACTACTTCTTTGGAGCCTGGAGTGCAAAGAGAGGTTTGACTCAAGTCACAGCCCAGTGAACTATAACAAGGTTGCCTGCCAGTTTGCTTGATGCGAATGGACTGTTCTGGAAAGGGGAAATCCTAATGTGTGTTGGAGATTTTTTTTTCTTCATTTTGAATCTACCAGAGGTTTAGATCACCTAGGCTAGGAGAGGGCCACAGGGAAGAACTGCAGGTTAGGGATGTGTTAGGGAGGTGATCTCTAGTTTCCTTGCACAGCAACCTCTAAGGAGATGCCAGGGAAGGGGAAGTAGGTATAGGGCATAAAGCACTAAATACATTCATTTGGATCTCAGAAAAAAGTAGCCTTCCTCTCTTGAAGCTTTGTTGAAACCTCCTCATGGAAAATGCTCTCTAGAGCAGTTGTCAGTTTTGCTGGCTTGAATGCACAATTCTGATGAACTCCATAATTTACTTAAGAGTTGGTTGGTTAGAGGAACACAGATCAGCAGCAGCAGCAGCACTTTGAGTGCCGTTGCCTGTGCGTATGTGTGTTAGAGGAACACAGAACAGCAGCAGCACTTTTGAGTGCCGTTGCCTGTGCGTATGTGACCCCACAATAGCTTCATCACCAAATGCACATGGTTTTCAATCAGAATGTAGCAAAAATATCTGAAAAAAAAACAAGGAATGCGCAAGCCCAAATTCTTTGACTTTTTTTTTTTCTCTTCTGTTTGCACTAGGTTCAGGATGTCGTCCCTATCACAAGCTATGATACTGCCGGCTCTTTTCTGCTGCTGGGCTGTAACAATGGCTCTATCTATTATATAGGTAAGAGATGGGGGCAGGGCTGAATAGAAAGGAATTGGTTCTAGGAAGCTGCATTCCTAAACAGACTCTTTAGGTCATTCTGAGTCGCATCAGAGCATCGCTGTCTATTCAGAGAAATAAACAATTGTCTTTTCCCCACAGACATGCAGAAGTTCCCGTTACGAATGAAAGACAATGATCTTCTAGTGACAGAACTGTACCATGATCCCTCCAATGATGCTATTACAGCACTCAGTGTCTACCTCACACCAAAAACAAGTCAGTATTGTATTTTATTGATGTTTCTTGAAGCTCAGTGGGAATCTGTACAGATTTTTTTCATCTTTTTCTGAATGGCCTTTTTCTATTGAAGCATAGCAGGGTCAAAGCAGCCCCAACAGCACTGCACATAAGCGCTGCAGTTTTCTGTATTTAGTTGTCCTCAAATGAATGATGAACATGGGTAGTAGCTGAATTGCCTTCACATCTGTGCATTTGTACACATGCATAGTATTTCATATTATATATACCTGTACCTTATACATTATACATTAACGTATAATGTAGTAACAGTGCACTGTACAGTACTTACTTGTACATAACATACATTTGCTATTTTAACACCTTTACACAAGATATGCACTTAGATTATGGCTTGTATTCACTGAATTGATGTCTCAAGTTTTTGGGGAAATAACAGAGTAGCTTTTGCTGACATCTAACTTCCTCATAATCAATACCATAAAAACCATTTAGATATGCAGCAACAGGGACTGAACGATGTTCAGCTGTTGTATCTATGCACTTTTTTGTAACCGTGGTACTGCTATCTTTTAAACTGGGGGAAAAAAAAAAGGCAGAGGAACTGTTTATTTCCCCGTATCTTTATTGATAACAAAATGACCTTTCTAACTGTAGTCATGCCTGTTCTTGCCCTGCCTTCCCATTTGCCTCCCAGTAAAGCAGAAGTAAACAGTATGTGGCACATATTGACCATGTCACTGTGAAGACTGCCAAATTATCCTCTTGGAATGTAGAACAACATCTTTAAATGACTTTTTAATCTCTTCTTTTAACCTCCAGGAGGGAGGAGAGGATGGAAAGGAAGACAGGGTTAAGAGAAAGTTGAAAAGCATAGTGTGTAACAGAACAAACTTTTATTTTTACAGTGGTACAACTTGCTGTCTGTTTGTGAAGGGAAAAAAGTGAATAATGTTTAAAATAAGTACCTCTCTTATTGTAGAAGCTTGAAAGTACTCTTCTCTATGGCCTCATTCCCTGCCTTCAGTGAGGCAAACTCACACCTGAGAGCAACAACTGTGTTCTTGCCCACTGTAGGTGTAAGTGGTAATTGGATTGAGATTGCCTATGGCACAAGCTCTGGCGCAGTGAGGGTGATTGTACAGCACCCTGAAACAGTTGGGTCTGGACCTCAGCTCTTTCAGACTTTCACCGTTCATCGCAGTCCTGTTACGAAGATCATGCTCTCAGAGAAACATCTGGTGTCAGGTAACGTGTATTTTCTGTTTGTGTTGGTCGTTCTCCCCTCCTTCTGCCCCTTGAAATACTTGTGTGCTTTGCCTCGTAACTTGCTTTGTTCCCTTATACGTTAGAACTGAGTTGGCCAGAGTTTTGAGTGAGATTTTTTTTTGGCTCCTCATTCTTAAAGTGAAAACTTCTTAAAGCCTTTAACAAAGCCTTTAATAAACCTAGGATTTACTTACTTCTAGTATCTGTTTAAATTTTTGTGCCTCTTTCCAGTGGTGCCAGTAGTGGGGGGAAAAAAAAAGATTTTAAGGATTTTTAAAAATTTTGGTTTCTTGAATGTCTGAGGGATGAGCCAAAGGTGTTTAGTAGAAAAAAGACATCAACAACAATCCATAGACTGTTAGGTAATTGCCTACAGTTGCCAGATGACATGACATTGACTACATGCTGCTTGGTCACTCAATCTTGAAAAGTTACTCTATATAAATCGTAGAGAAGCTTATCTTGAAAGGGCTATCATTCCCTGTAAATTGTATTTACACGTCTTTTCCTTTCCAGTGTGTGCTGATAACAACCATGTACGGACATGGACTGTAACTCGGTTCCGGGGCATGATCTCCACGCAGCCAGGCTCAACACCTCTTGCATCATTCAAAATCTTGTCCCTGGAGGAAGCAGAGAGTCACGGCAGTTACAGTTCTGGAAATGACATCGGTAGGGCAAGCGCTCAGCTTTACCGGGCTCATAAAGGCTCAACAGTGGCTTTGAACCCATAATAAGCAAATCAGCTGGAGCTCTTCTTGTATCCTGCTGGAAATACATCACCAAGAAAATATTGACAGTTTGGGCTTTAGAATGTGAATACAGTTAGTGGAGTTTCTCTTTGAAGGTGATAAGAAAAAGAGGAGAAAAAATCTCTGTCACAAAAGCTGTACATTTTCTCTGTGCGAACTGAAGTAGCCTTTCACTTTTCTTCTAAGTAGAGAATGGTAACAAACAAAAGAAACTGCACTGAAGCAAATGACCATGGAAAGATTTGAGTTTACTGCAATTTTCCAGTTAACTGTTCAGCTGGGAGTAAATAATGCACAGTTGAAAAATTCTTAAATGAATTTGAAGTTTTGACAGAGTTTGCTGAGACCCTCAAACTGATAAAGGAATGTTTCTATAGCAGGATAATCAAGGAAGGTCTATATTTGATAAATATAGGTACAGAGGTAGTTTCCATCTGTCTTTGAGTCTTGCAAATGAACTTTAATGGCTGGAATGCTCAGTGAACACTCACTGAGCGCTCAGTGAACAGAGTGTGGGGTCAGTGACAGGATGAGAAATAAATAATTTGGCTGTTAGATGACATCTGGAGGTTGGAAAGTAAGAAAGCACTTACTTATTCTGCTATAAGGGCTTATGATAGGGCTTTGTTACACAGTAATTCCAGTGAAACTCAGGGATGGGTTCCTTTAAAACAAGCAAACCAAAACCTGCAGAGGCTTCTAACTATTGGATGGCTTTTTCTAACTGTTTTTCTTCTTTGATTCCCTGGAGGTGATACTTTAAAATTGCCCTGGTTGTGCTAATATGAATTTGGGTCCTCAGGAGTGTGTGTGGCGGGGGGAGAGAGAGCAAGAGAACTGAAACAAACCAGCCAAGTGATCTTTTTGTTCTCCCTAGGGCCCTTTGGTGAACGTGATGATCAACAGGTGTTTATTCAAAAAGTTGTTCCCATCACCAATAAGCTTTTTGTAAGGCTGTCTTCAACTGGGAAAAGGTACCTGCACGGTAGTACTGAATTTACTGGACAGTCTCTGCTGAGGAGTGCAATGTTTGACTTGGCTTTCTCTTCCTGTAGAATCTGTGAGATCCAGGCAGTTGACTGCACTACCATATCGTCATTTACCGTGAGGGAATGTGAAGGATCCAGCAGAATGGGCTCCAGGCCACGCCGCTACCTCTTCACTGGCCACGCAAATGGCAGCATCCAGATGTGGGACCTGACCACAGCTATGGACATGGTTAATAAAAGTGAAGACAAGGGTAAGTTGTGGTATGGGTCTTTTTATACTCTCACATGTGCACAAAGACTGTAAATGGACTCGGGCACTAAGAGCTGTCTCTTCCAGACATTGGAGGTCCAACAGAAGAAGAGCTGCTGAAGTTGCTTGACCAGTGTGACTTGAGCACGTCTCGCTGTGCTACACCCAACATCAGTCCTGCCACCTCGGTAGTTCAGCCAAACCGGCTGCGGGAATCCAATTCCAGGTAGGTCATAGAGGGAAGGCATTGGCTGCACACACCAAAGACTTGACTCTTCAGGCAGAGGAAGACCAGTTTGGTGACCTGAACAGTGCAGCTAAACCCCTAATTACACGACCTAAGAAGTGTCTTCAACTACACATGCATATACTCCTAAATTTCTGTTGGTTTATACATATGCAGATTAAGGTATTTTACGAGATTGCAATATAAGCGAGTTGGAAGCCCTTGTGCAGGGGTTGAGTATAGGGCTGCTTTAGGAGGATTGGCAAGATTGGGCTGGAGCAGGGTTTGCAAAAGAACCAGCTGTTTTTCTCTACCTACCATCTGCTCTCTTTGTTTCTTCTCAAGCCTCCAACTGCAGCATCATGAAACAATCCACGAAACGGCCACGTACGGCTCTGTGCGACCGTACAGAGAGAGCCCCTTGCTGGCAAGAGCCAGGCGCACGGAGAGCTTCCACAGTTACCGGGACTTCCAGGCCTTTAACTTGTCCAGCAAGAGCCCCGTAGAAAAGGCAGCGGCTGCAAATGGCAACTCGAGCCAGACGGAGGCCAGGAAGGCACCAGCCGAGGGCAGTGCGGCTGACAGGAAGGCAGGGCTGACGACAGCGCTCGAGGTGCGAGGCCCGGGCATGGCAGATGCAGGTGGGTGTTGCAGTTCAGACGGGCACCGGCTGCCAGAGGGTTCTCTGGAGCTCAAAAGACGAGGGCCGGAAGAGGAGAGTGAAACTAAAGCAGAGAGCAAAAAGAAAATGGGGTTCGAGGGAGCTGGGTTCCTGGGAAGGAAGAAGGTGCCTCTTCTGGCCTCTGCCCCACCAATCCTTGCAGAAGGTGGCCCTGAATTACCTGGCGCAGCTTCTCCCTCACCTACCAAGACGGCTGCTTCACCGCGCCACCGCAAGAATGACTCATCCTGCCAAGACTATGGCTTGTGAAAATGGGACTGGCTGCAAAGGTGCAGGTGCCCTCTGGCCAGGAGCAGACATGACATTGTGTGGTGTGGGGTTTTGGTCTGATGTGCAGAATGAAGCTTGCAAGGAAGCAGGTTAAGAGAAGGCACGGGGCTGCTGCCAAACATGCGACGAGCCCTCCACGTTCTGTGTGGCTTTATGTAATACTCCCCAACGTAGTACGGTACTTGGTGCAAAATATTGTTGTACATTCTTGCGTAAACACGGTCAGGCTTGTGCTCGATGTCGTCATTTTTTGTTTTGAGGGGAGAGGAAGAGAGGAATACAGGGTTGCTCAGTGGGAGATGCCTTTTAGACACAGCCCTGCATTGCTCTGCAGAGCCACTGCTGTCTTGGCCTATTTTACAGGGCAGCCTCCAAAGTCTTGTTTTACGAATGGGATAAATAGGGCACCCTTGCTCTGTATGCTGCTGATGGAGATGGAAGATGTTCTGTTTGGAGTATGGAGAAAGCTATTTAAAATAGCATATTATATTGCCTCTTATTGCTAATAAATTGCCGGAGAAGTGTCGTTTGTGCTTTCTGAAAATGTCTGGTGCCAGATGATGGTTTGTGCTGATTGTGACTGAGAACACGCATAAAAATATGCTTGATGACACAGAACTGTCAGTCTCATGAGGGTTTCCTTTTCACTTTCTCTGGAGAAAAAGGATAGAGATGAATATGGGAGTAGCTCGGCCATTGGGGTATAATAATTCTCAATTACAAGGGCTGTGACATGATGTTTCCTACCTTGGTTGCACTGGCTGCTGGATGTTGGGTGGTGAACAAATCCTGTTGCCTATAGCTCTCCAATATGCAAGTAAAGGGGAAAGCTGTGACAGTGAGTGCTACATAGGGAGCAGGGGAGGAGTATTTCCCAATCAGAGACAGCATGCTTTATGCTGTTAGAGATGGCATTTATTTGATGTCTTTTTATTATTATATTATTACTTGAGCAGGGAAGGAAGGGGAGGGGGTAGAGAAAGAAAATGCAAAGGACAACATAGGAGTTCCTTCACTTGTTTATTGTACCCACACAGGAACACAATTTTGTTCTGGAGAACAGACATAGCCTTCCAGGCAGGATAACTGCTTTTAGCCACATGCTGCATTTTGGACAGGTAAAAGATTGTCCTTTTCTTAAAAAAAGAAAAAAAAAAAGAAAAGAAAAAGAAGAGAAATAGAAAAGAGACAAAGGTCTCAATGCATCTTCACAGCATTTGCTACTGTAGGACTTGGGGATTTTCAGAATGTTCTCATCTTACCTTTTCAAGACGCCAGTACTAATAGAAACCTTGAACTATATGTTAAGAAGGGAGGGAAAAGAAAGAGCTCATCACCCTCTGCAATGAACAGTTCTTTTGTGTCCCAAGCAGTGGGCAGGGGACGGGAAGCAGCAGCCATATGTGCACTGCAACGTCCGTACTGGCTGTTTTTGGCAACGCACCCTCTAGAAGGTGCCTGTGTGACTCAGAGGTGGGTATCGGTGAATGTGGTGTGCTCCTTGGTCACCGTGCTGAAGCCTTTGATGACACTGACAAGATCATCCTCATCCAGGTACCGCTAGGGGAAAAAAAAAAAAAGAAGGAAAAAATTCACATTAGCCCCTCCTTCCATCCTTCCATCCATCCCAGAGCAACAGGACTCCTCACCAAGCCATGACCACTCGTGCTGTGATTGCGAAGGAAGGCGTCCCACGCCGACTCCTCTGCAATGGACTTCTTCTTGTCGTAGATGTCAATGAGCTGGCTCACACTGCGATGGAGAGAGGCTTGGGAGTAGCTGCGACTCAGCTGGCTTGGAATCTGCTCCAGAGAGGCCCTGCGGGCGCTGCGGGTGCTTCGCGGGGAACCATCTCCTGGGATTTTAGTATCTGCCAGCCCCTAGGAAGACACCAAAACAAGCAGTAAAGATAAAATTTAAAATAAAATAAAATAAAATAAAATAAAATAAAATAAAATAAAATAAAAGGCACGATCTGGAACACTTCAACTAACAAAAGAAATAAGAAAAAGTTCATGCATTAAAAATCAAGCACTTATATATAAACAGAAGAGGAAAAAATAGACGTTTCCCCTGCCCAGAGTCAGAAGACAGTAATGCAAGAAAAAATCAATTTAAAAAAATCAGAATTTTCCTTTTTTTTTTTTTTAATTAGCCAACAGGCATAGGTCCAAAAGTTTTTCACTAGCAGAATGATGCTCCAGACTTGCAGAGAAAGACCTGCTAGCATGAAGAGGGAGCAGGCATTTCCCCTCCAGGGAAAACATGCTGGGTAGGATGCCTCATGCACATTCCTTGCTTCGGCTGGCACATCACACGTCCTGCACATCTCCAAGCTAACAACCACTCAACAACTCTACCTCCAAATGCATCGTGTAACTCTTGAGCGTGACACTGCTGGATGAATCAGATGTGTCCGCAACAGTCTCAAACTAAGATGAAAGAGAGGGAGGGAAAGCATCAGGGCAGAGGTGCTATTTAACTTGGAACTGGTTACCAAGGGCCGTGTGGGCAGGCAGCATTGCCTGCTGCCCGATCTGGGTAGCCCCTGTAACACACAAGTGTTGGCACTTCAGAGTAGCTCTACCCTAGCTGTTCAGATTAGCACTTCCAGTGATGCACTGTAGACTCTTCATTTCTATTAACTCCATGAGAAAAGGGAAAAAAAAAAAAAAGAAGAAGAAAAGGTGGGAACTTGAAAAGCAACGGTGCAGGCATGCCAACAGCAAAGGCGTTTTAAAGTCAGGAGGAACAGCATAGTGTGACAGACTAGAAGAAAAGAAATCAAAACCATGAGACCAAAAAAGGAAGTTTCTTACTCTCTCAGCCTTTGCCAGGAGAAGGGACACACTGCAAGTTCCATCGTTTCCAAGAGCTGCTTAGTTGAGGCACAGATGCAGCTTCTTGGCACTGAGACAAGAAGTAACAGACTGCGTGAAGGATGCAGGAGTCACTACCCTGCTGGATGGCACTTACAGGGAAAAGAAGCTGAGTGGGACAACGGGAGTCATTTTCTGGCCTATGTATGTGAAGAAGCATGGCAGGGGAGGGCACTGATGTTCCAATTCTCAGTCTCATCACAGTGATCATATTCTTTTTGACTTGCTTTTCATCACAAGTTAGTCAGGTACTACTACTCTACTACTCTTGTTTTTTTTTCTTCTTCTTCTTCTTTTTGAGCATGGGAACATGTTTGTTGTTTTTTTTTTCTTTAAACGGATTTGTAATTTCTTGTTATAATAAAAGTGTCACTCACCAGTAGTCCTCCTACCACGCTGGTGGTCCCAAAGTGGCCTGTGTGCATGTATATATACAGACACATTTTGCTAAGGTTCCCAGCTTTTCTCTGGTCAGAGTCTGTCTCCCCCAGATCACCCTGGCAAGGAGTTCATCCTAGAGCATTCCAACTGGGTGGTGAGTATATACTAGAAAGACAGACTCTGTTCCTAAGAAGTCCTGTTTTTTTGCAGGACTATTTCATCAAAAAAAAAAAAAAAAAAAGACCACCAAAATGGATCTTGGTTAGTCATTTACAACAGGACAGTTGGGTCCACACAAAAGGTTCTTTTGAAAAGTATGTTCTATTACCTATTTACCCACAGTGTGCCTCTTGGATCCACTCCTCAGTGTGGATCCTTGGCTCTGCAAGGATCTACCTTGCAGATGGCCCACCTTACACAAGCCTTTTCCCCACAGCTCTACTGCCGACCACAGCTAGTATCAGGTAGGCAGTGGTGGCTTTGGATCTGCCTGCTGCTACAGCTCCCAACTTCTCTGTTACAAGGCATCAAAAGTACTCCAGACCAGAAGTACTTCATGTCCTGCAGCCCAGGTACTGCATGAATCCTCTGGACTAAATGCCTGTGAGCTGGGCTCGCTGTGAGGATACCTCACACCTTCCCAGGTACACTAGACAGCCCCTTTCCAACTCTGCACAGCCATCCTTTGCTAACGGAGAATGCACCAAAATGCTGGAGGTGAAAATATCCAGATAAAAGAGTAACAAGATGCATGCACTACAGTGCACTGCCCAACCTACCGCATGGGTTTCGCCTGATGAGTAGACGCTCATTGGTGATGTTCTCTTCTGCAGTGGAACCAGAGGAGGTCTGTCTCGTGCATAGGGTTGCTTGTGGACCTTCCTTTGAAGAATTAAAGAGAGAAGAATAGCCAAGAGGATCAAACCTAGAACTACCATCAACACTGCAAACCACAGCTCATTGTAGAATTTTGCACTTTTGGCCTCTGCTTTGTCCTTCTCGCCAGGTGTCGTCAAGATCAGACCTGTAAATACCAAGAGGGAATAGGGGAGAAAGGGAATGTTATTTGAGAAAGCCATTTAACAATATGCCATCCCTTTTCTCTCTAATAAATTAGGCAGAAATTTAAGTCAGTTTGTTGTCATGTGCTTATTTGCACTTATGTTCAAGGTGGCATAATGGTTCAATATGCTAGCGGGCTATAATAAAAAGCTTACTACCCTCAAGAGACCCTGCTTAAAGTTCTGGCATTGCTGCTCAGGCTGGAAATCACCACTGCATCAGCAGCTCCTGAGAAAGGAGGCGGTGGAGGTGGAATGCAAAAAAAAAAAAAAAGGAAAGGAAAAACCCCAGGTGCTCCAAGTAACCTTGAGGAGTAATTTCAGAGGCACAGAGGACATTCTCCCTCTCCCCAGCCACCAGTGCTACATGGTAGTAGGTCTGGGTCGTTAAAAACGCAAGTGGGAGAAAGACTGATTTGTGTGATAACTTGTGCTTCACTTCCATGAAAACAACACAAAACATCTCATTCTTTCTTCTCCAGCTTAGAAAAATCAGCCACTTTCCTCACACATGACACAAGCATCAGAAATTTCAGTCAGGACTTTCTGCTTATTTGCAATCTCAACGAGTGCATCCAGACTCTTTGCTAAAGAATTCCCATCATCTTCACTTGTAAGATACCACTACAAGTTGCCTGTGCTGATGATCGACTTGGCAATAGCCTCAGGGTACAACCAGCAATCAAAAACTCACTCTGGAAGGTGATATAGAGCAACTAGGAACATTTCACACCTCTACTACAGCCTCGCCTGAAATTCTGCAGGAGGATGGAGCTAGATCACAGGAATTGATGCAACAGAACTCCTGTGCGAAGAGTAATTGCAAAGAAAAGGCTGAGCAAGAAGCAAATAATTCAACTAATAAATAAATGAAACCAATGTCAGTGAGATGCATGAGGACAGGAAATGGTTCCAACTTAACTTTGGTTCCCAGAAAACTAAGGAGATGGGAAACAAACATATTTGTGTTTGACATCTACAAGACAACAGACAACAGGTGACTTGGATTTCATCACATCAAACTAGTTTGCATGAAACAGGCAAAGGGGCTGGACAGCAGTAGGTGCTATAAACCTGGTCTTCCCAGGGTAACTCATGACACCAACTCCTTCGACATTCTCATAAACTGGCTAAGGAAAAGTCTGAAAAAGAACAGATACTATTCACTTCACTAAGAAGGGAATAAATAAATAAATAAATAAATAAATTGGGGAGCAAAATAATTGACCATGTAAAAATAATAGAAGAAGCACATACAAGGCCAAAGAAAGGATCTGAAGTTAACTATGATGTAAAGAAACCGAAATTCCTCCATGGCAAAAAAAGGCCCATTATCTGCATACCTTATACTTAAGGCACTAAGGATCTTCTGATGACACTCCATTCTGTCTGGCATGCACTACATAGCAAACATCTACCACAAGCACATAAAAACAGTAGGTGCTAGATAATTTCTTCACATATTTACCAAGCCCATCTCCAGTGCTGTATTTGATGACTGGTGTCTTGGCAGTCCCTTCATCAGTGATACAGGTCACTTGAAAGAAAAAGGCTGAGCAAAAAGGTTAGAAAGTGTATCAGCAGGCGAGCACAAAATTCTTTAGCTGCTACTTTTCTATCACAATCCGCTAGTAGAGACAGCCAAGTCTGAGAAAAGCCTAACACATAACCCAGATGAGCCCCACATCAGAGCCTCATAATCCCTTTTACCAAGGTATTAAACTTCTAAATTATAACTATGGCATATGACAAATCATATTCCCATTTTACCACCCAATCTTTCCTCTTCCCATGACATGCAATTAGCTGCTTTAATTTTTTTTCATTACTGTGCTCCAAATCCCTCATACTCACTTTTTGGCTGATTCAGACTTGTTAAGAACATTTGAGTTAAAAAATACTGTATTAGCATCATTGCACTAATCAGGAAATCACAAGGAAGAGCAATAGCAAAGTTCACAACAGAAACCTCACAGCATCTCTTAACTAAGCTCTTGGTTGGTAGCATCTGGATTTCACTCCGTCAACCTCTTCTTCTGCCTGTCCTACAGCCCAGATACATGACAGCAGTTTTGATATTTTGATATTTTTAAACAGAGGGTTTAAAAATATCAAATGTATTAGTTTGCAAGTCACAGGTGTCTTTAGTATGCTCCCATGCTCTTCGTTTGTGGTGGCTTTGGAGACATATTTCTTAAGTTGAGAACACAATAGTATTAATTTAGCCCAACAGTATTCCACAGGGAGAATGATACAGGAAATAAAAACTGACTTCTGTCAGACGTCCGTGGTAAATACAGCTCCGTGTCAAAGCCGCTGTAGATGCGCTGCCCATTCTCAGTCAACGCGTACTCCTTCAGGCGTCCGTTCAATACAAATGTTCGACTCCAGTCTATGTGGATGGTAGATAAATTGCTGACAACTGAGAAGGGAGCCTTGTACCAAGGTGCTGCAGAAGAAAGGCAAAAGGAGGCTCAGGAGAACAGGTTGGGAGTATTTAGCAAGGCAAGGAAAACCACACTGGAGGAAGGGCTGGAGATCCTGTGGGCAGGGATTAGAAACTGATTTTCAAACCCTTTCATTCTGGATACCTGTTTTTTTTATGAATTTTCTCCATTTTAGAGCTTATTATTATGTTCTACCTCAATAGCATGCAATTTAACAAAACACAGCTTCAGAGGTGATGCCTTTTAATGGCCACTCATTGACCAAAAATCCAGGACTGTTCCACTCCAAATTTTCAGCTAAGGATCCATACAATGTAACAGATACATTTTAATAACTACTAGACAGTAGTTAGACTAGTGCTAAATGGTTTTGTAGAAAGTTGATTCTGAAGTCCTGAAACTCAGGGTCCATAACAAAAAGTTAATATCCTCTTTGCCCTGATTTGTCAGGCTGAGGTGAAATGCCCACGTCATCCATTATAGAATGACTCTAGCTACAGCTCCATAGATCTTTTCAGTAAAAAGCTGATGTTAGACTACTACAAAATCAGTTTTGATGACAAAATCTATTCTGACTCTAGGCACAAGTCCTGCATATTTAATTCCCATGCAGATCACTACATGACCGTAAAGTACTGTCTGCATCTGTCTAATAGTAACCAAGTCTCACTGCAGTGTCAAAGAGGATCCACTCAGATTAAATCCAAGTAAAACTCCCATGGGCCCTGGCAGAAGTTTGGCTTCAGTCAGGACAGTAAGATTATTTCTGAAAAGAATCGCCAAGTCTTTTTTAAGATGTCCACTTTTCCCAGGAAAGGTTTATAGCAACACTGTTATTACCGCAAGTTCTGTAATTTCTCGATAAAATAAAAGGTTTCCTCTTCACAGAAGAAACAGGATGTAAAAGATGTAAACCCATATGATGAGCAAAGAAATATACTCAAGGAAATGAGCGACCAAGTCACACAGCAGAATTCCAGTGATCTGGCAGCAGAGGAACTGGATACATACGCAATGGTGGATTTTGCTGGACATCAGCTTTCACAAGGGGGCTGATTTCTTTGGCCCTATCCAGCCTCCTTCCACTGAAGTAGGAATTTCTGACCTGTGAATCATTTCTCATACTCACGCTCCTTCTCAGTAGTGAAGCCAACCCATTCCGAGGCGCTGCTGCCAACAGAATTGTAAGACACGACTCTCAGGTTGTACGTTGTGTAAGGCTCAAGGTTGGACACGTTGGCACTCTGTCCTTTTCCTGTATACTTCACTTCAGTTGGGCCAGGACTGCAGGCCTTTACTGCAGGCTGTAGATTCGGGGGACAGGCCATATACACGTGGAGCTCATAGCTGAGAAAAAGGTTGATATTTTGATGAATCAAGAGCCTTAATTATATGAGAGCCAACCAACCAGTGAAGACCATTTCATCCCAGCTGCTGTATGTCTAGCTACCAGAGAACAGAATGGACTGATGCTACTTTTTCTCCTGCAAAATTTGGTCCCAACTGTAGGGTATCTACAGACAATCATAGTTGTCATTCATAGCCACAATGAGATTGTTGATGCCCGTCACTTCTGTAAATCAGACAGCTGACCTGCCTCAGTAAATACAAAGTGCAGTTGTCTCTTCACTTCCAGTTGTTCTCACAACCTTTTGGCTGTGCAAACAAAACTGTCAGGCAATTAGTTCCACTCTTAGCAGCAGCTGGTGCAATGAGAGACCTCCAGAACTGCCACTTCATTCCTGCCTCCCCATAGCTGGCTTTGGGGGCCTGACAATTTGGGGCATAACAGAAGAGTCCCTTTTCTCTGGGTCCATCCGCCCAACAGCCTGCTGAGGAGTAAAGCAACTGTTGCGAGTGAACATCTCTTGGAGGGAATTTGAGGCACGTGGGATATCATCCCTCACACTGGGAAGGAGGAGCATAGCTGTCACAACTGACCACAGCACTCAGTCATGTGAATCAAGCTCATGTTCAGGAAAATTGCTCTGCCACCACCCTAGGCTGATTCAGGAAGCCTCGGCTGGAGGGCAGGTCCTACCTGGTGACGATGCCGTTGGGGGACTGCGGGGCGCTCCACTGGAAAGAGGCGTTCCTGGAGGTCACGGTGCGGATCTGCGGAGGCGGCTGCTCGGAGGGTGGTGCTGGCTGCGTGGTGATTTGGGCAACGGGTCCTTTGCTGCAACAGTTGAAACAGGTGCAGGCCTCCACACCAATGGTGTATGTGGTAAATGGTTTTAGCCCATGTATTGTCTGCTGGGTGGCAGTCCCTTCTGAGAGCTATAAAATTTAAGAATGAACTTTACACAGCTTCAATAAGCATAACTACTAAGCAAGAGTTAATGGGGTGAATTAACTCCAGAAGAGGTTCTGCATGTCTGCTAAGTCTGACATTAATGCAGCTGCTGCACGCTGGGAACTCTGTATTCATTTTCTTCCTATTACAAAGTTAAAAATGGGCCATTCAAAGAAAAAGACCATGCCACCAGTGGCCTCACAAACCTCGAGCTGAACTGTAACCATTGCAGATACACACACATATCACACAGATTTCCTTGGCTTGGATACAGTAGGCAGCATTGGCAAGAATGATGGGAATATATGGTGTGTCAGTTTAAATGACAGGAGAATTTCCTTTGTAGTAGTATGGCCTTTGAGCTGAGGAACAGACTAGCTATGGTATTTGATGAGCTTACAGTTAACTCTCCTATACTCAGTGTGGGACACTTCATGGGTCCGACAGTGGAAACTGTGCTTTCTTGTGCAGAACATGCCACTTCACCTCTCTGCCATAGTCATTTGTGGGCATAGCTTCTATAGCCCAAGTAATCAAAATATGCAGAAAACACCATCAAGAGGCAACATCCGCTCCTGTTGAGAGCACCTGATTCAGCAGAATGTAGCAGAATATAGGCAGGAATGAGTCAAACAAACACAGCATCAGGTATTATATGATATCTGGTCAAGAGACAAGACTGCGGCAGGGCTGATACAAGGGGATGACAAAGGAAAGCCATACAGGTACTACTGGCTGAATTCCTCACAGTCAAAGACACTGTAAGGAATAAACATGTAATGTGCAATCAGTAAGCAGTTAAAATTCATGGACAGCATTGATGACTTGGGAAGTCAACAGCACTTCCAAGAAAAGCAATATGGGACCAGGGAAAAAAAAAAAACTCATACTAACTAAAACATTTTTCTGCTCATAAAGGGCACACAGATGATGTTATAGACAAGAAATATTCAAGTATTTTGCATTATTTGTTGATACAGTTCCAGGTGGCTTCTGCAGCCCTAGGCTTTACACACATCCTCCATTTTATAAGTCTAATGAAGTTCTGCAGGTTTCCTAGTTTAGGTGACTTTGGTCATAGAAGTAAAATGATTGGAAAAGACCATCGAGATCATCAAGTTCAACCGTAAGCCCTTCAACACCATGCCTGCTAAACCATGTCCCCAAGTACCTCACCTACATGTTTTTTGAACACTGCCAGGGATGGTGACTCCACAACTTCCCTGGGCAGCCTGTTCCAATGCTTGACTACTCTTTCCATGCAGAAATTTTTCCAAATATCTAACCTGAACCTCCCCCGGTGCTACCTGAGGCCATTTCCTCTTGTCGTATCAATAGTTATTCTGGAGAAGGGATGGACTCCCACCTCACTACAACCTCCTTTCAGGTAGTTGGAGAGAGAGTGATAAGGTCAAATGATAAGGTCATTTCTGGACACTTGATTGATTCTGTTCTAAGGAAAAGCCAAAGCTGCACCTTAGCCTTGACAGAGCATCCCAAGCATTGCTGCAGTCTATTCAAACCTGTTAAACTTTTTGGCACAAAAAAAAAAAAAGGAATAACAGCAATCTGCTATCAATCACGCACATATGTAAAGCCTTTCTTTATCATCCCCCCAGCTCCTAGGCCCACAGACCAAACACACCTAAAAAGTGGGGAAATGTTTTGAGATGACAGAGAACCTCTGTTATGGGCCTCTCCAGTGCAGCCATTCTCAAGCCAGAAAAGACACTGACTCCACAACCATGCCTGGAATTTCCCATTTGATATGTTCATGAATGCAAAAAAAAAAAAAAAAAAAGAAACACCAGAAATTACTTAACTCTGAGATTGCTTAATCGCTGAGATTTGCTTGAACACCTAATATCTCCCCGCTAAAGGCCACCTTTGATAACATCTTTTGAGACAGTCTAGGCTGTCACAAAGTCATCTTGCTGCTTGCATTATTTCTAACGCCTTCTTAATAACGAGTAAGATTTTAAGGGCAATTCATGCGCAGCATTCTCTTCTGAGCTCAAAACTGTACGATCTCCAAAGCACACGACTGATTTCTTACTGGCTAGAGTTTCCACCTGAACCACTCGTGCTGGCAGGAGCTGTCTGGAAGTATTTCGTTTGGGCGGTTAGCCATCCCTGAACAATACTTGGGATTCTCATCACATTGTCACAGCATATTACCAAGTGAGAGAGGTTTGAATGGTGAAGTTAATTCCTCCAGAAGCATAATATTTAGCTGAGTGAGAGTGTTGGTCCTGCTTTGTCCAGAAGAGAGCATTGAAGAGCAGTGAAAAAAGAGAAAATGCAAGGGCTGAAGAAAGTCCGTAACCAACAGTAGCAGCAACTAAGAACAAAATCATCAAAAGCAAAAACAAAAGTTCAAATGGAAGTACAAAAATGGTTTAGACAGTACTCACCACTACGTTGGTGCCTCTGGTATCATTAGAAAACAGCCTGTAGATACTGACTAACCCGTTTGGCTTAAGAGGAGGGCTGATGTTCACCACAGCCACCGTGGACGCCACCGTGTCAAACAGGGGGGGCCCGAGGCCCTCGGGAGGCGCCGGCCCCGTGCGGCAGCGTGACCAGGCACTCGGCGTCCGGCCTGCGGAGTTCACCGACCACACCTTGGGCACACAGAAACAGAGACACTCTCAGGGAAGGGCCTCATCCTGCAGAACACCCACAGCTACGGAGCAACGCCAGCGCAGTGATGTTAACGAAGGCGCTGCCCAGCGTCATCTGTGCAAAACGTTCCTCGCCACCTAACCAACGTCTGAGTGAGCGACTTTCTAAGAGAAGAATGGAGCATTTCCCACAATTAGATTTAGGGAAAAGAGGAAGATTTCAGGTCTCAGGCAGTATGTGTGTTGCATCTTCTTCACACCTGAAACCCAAACTCTGAATTCTCACCTTTATCTGCATCATACTGTGTAGAGAGGACTCTCTGAGAATCTACAATCAGTATCAATCATGTTTTCAAAGACATCTGAACAAAAATACCAATATCCAGCTCTGCTACTGTCTCCTTTCTATGCATTTCCCTCATATTCACAAGCAGACCCAATCAATTCAGCCTGGCCCAATGTGACATTTAGGTATGTTCATCCTGAGTGAATCGCACAAGGCAATCACTACTTACTTTTTAAACCTGCAAAGTTTTATTGAAAATCTCTAAAATACTCCCTTCTAAAATATATCAATGTACCAATCATCTGGCAATATTTTCAATAACCCATACTATAAATAAAACCCATTGAAAACTACATTTAAAGTCAGCATCTCTCATTTATTTTCACAACATTTGCTTTATTGCATAGGCACAAAGGCAACTGTTTCACTTCTATTCAAAATTCAGCAGCTCGAATTAGACCTGATTAAAAAACACATGTCTCTATGAACTATGCCTACTTATTTTGTCAGCTTCCCAAAACTGGAGTGATCTGCAGACTACATAAAACTCAGCACTTATTAAACACAGTCTCCAACAAATCTGCATGAAAATTAAATTTTGCTTTCATCAAGGAGTGAATAAACATATGGAAGGAAGTATAATCTTATTTATCAAAAACCATTTGTATAATTAAACACGAATATCATAAAAGGTTGCCTTAGGTCATCATTTGCATGAGTAAGTAATTTGTAGGATGTCAGGTACAATAGACAGAATAGATGGATGCGTGAGTTTATAGGGTTAAATTAGGCTCAATATTAGCCAACCACATAGTGATCAATCAGAATGATAGATCTAAATGGCAATACAAGAGGACTGTCTGAGTGATTTTTAGTGTAAGTATTCCTTAGTAAGCTTTCATGTCGAGCAGTTCTAACTACAGTAAAACATGTTCTTGTGTGATCTGCCCTGGGCAGAAGACCCGGGCAAGCAGACAGTGAGATTGTGCCTTAACAAAAGTAGTAATAAAATAAGAGGTCTTCAAAACTGGGCCTAGAGTCTTTTCAGCTTGCAGAATTAAGTTCAAGATAATGGGACCCTTCACAAAGGTCCTGGAGAAGGAAGAAAGCCAAAATCCACCACAATGGCTTTGAAGACTGTGGTTCTATGCATTACAAAACCAAAGTTACAATTTTCATTTTCTTGTGAAAGACTGCCTAATAAAACACTGTTAAAGTACTTTAATTTTCCATTAAAATGGTCATATTTCTCTTAATATATCTCTGCTGTGAACTTCTCATGAAGTTAAACTCTGTTCACTTCACTGTAATAGGTCAAATCCTCTATCTCAGTTAAGTCCTTGCTGCTACAGAGATTTGCCTACAGTAGTTCATTTCTAGGGGCATATATCTTTACGGAAAGAATAAGCCACATACATAGAGAAGGACAGCTCTGAGTGTACCACTTGCATTGGCTCAACGCCGACCTTAGTTCAAACGCCCCAGTTCTAGTTGAGGCTGTGGCCTTAATGAGCACAGAGTATAACAATGTCGGACATTCAACTGCCTAGCAAAGTTCCACAGCAAAATTAAAGGCCACAAGTTAGGCACAGAGGTTTCCTGTGTTGCACATGGGGGTACTAGGTCCCAGAATAGGACTGCTAGGAAATTCTGATGAGGGAGGGATGCACCTTGCCATTTTATTCATTTCTGGCACATACACTCAAAGCTGCAGGAAGACACCATCCTCCATTGATCCCTTTCCTATCACTGGTGCCTAACTCTTGTCTTTCAAAAAGCAAAACACCATCTAAGGAGAGAATTCAAGCCTGCCGCCCTCTAGAGGGGAAGTGCCCAAGCAGCCGACCCAGCTTCATTCTGGTTGCTCGCTGTGAGGCAGTTTCACTTGGCATGAACATAATGAATTCAGGATTGATTAGGCAAAGAGAGAGCACAAGTAGACATGACTCTT